AGGTCCTGGGAAAGGACTCGATAGGTAGACAAAATGCCAAATCCAGTCTGAACATCTGGCTGACTGTGCGATGATCCATAATAATAATAATAATAATAATAATAATAATAATAATAATAATAATAATAATAATAATAATAATAATAATAATAATAATAATAATAATAATAATAATAATAATAATAATAATAATAATAAAGTTGGAAGGGAGCTTGGAGGTCATCGAGTCCAACCCCCTGCTCAGGCAGGAAACCCTACACCATTTCGGACAAATAGCTGTCCAGTCTCTTCTTAAAAACTTCCAGTGTTGGAGCATTAACCGCTTCTGGAGGCAGGTAGTTCCACTGGTTAGTTGTTCTAACTGTCAGGAAGTTTCTCCTTAGTTCTAGGTTGCTTCTCTCCATCCGTTGCTTCTTGTCCTTCAGGAGCCTTGGAGAATAGCTTGACTCCCTCTTCTTTGTGGCAGCCCCTGAGATATTGGAACACTGCTATCATGTCCCCCCTCGTCCTTCTCTTCATTAAACTAGACATACCCAATTCCAGCAGCCGTTCCTTATATGCTTTGGCCTCCAGTCCCCTGATCATCTATGTTGCTCTTCTCTGTACTCTTTCTAGAGTGTCAACATCTTTTTTACATCGTGGTGACCAAAACTGGATGCAGTATTCCAAGTGTGGCCTTACCAAGGCATTGTAAAATGGTATTAACACTTCACGTAATCTTGATTCTATCCCTGTTAATGCAGCCTAGCACTGTGTTGGCTTTTTTGGCAGCTGCAGCACATGGCTGGCTCATATTTAAGTGATTGTCCACTAGGACTCTGAGATCCCTCAGAGCAAAGGGAGTGGAGGACAGGACAGCAAAGCGAGTGGAGTCCAGGGCAGTGGGGGTGGCTGGGGTCTTGCACTGCTACCCTGGGGGACTGGCCACAGTATGGAGCTTGAAGCAGTTCCTTGGCTGTGGTGGCAGCATAACTAAAGCAGAGGCCCGGGAAAGGTGGTGGCCAGTGGAGATTGCTGAAGGCCTCTCAGTCAGCCCCTGAGTTGCCACGGAGGAGTGCCACTGTGCCGTCCAGCAAAAGGGCAGAGATGGGGGTTGAAGCTCCCCAGCAGTTGTTAAGTGCAGGGGAACTGCCAAATGCCCAAATCTTGATCACATGATTGTGGGGGCGCTACAACAACTATTAACTTTAGGGACCAAGTATTAAGTATCACTCGTAACTTCAAACGGCTGCTGAATGGGATGGTCATAACTTGAGGACTACCTGTACAAAATTATGGAAAAGGAGAAGTGTTCAGGTAAAAAGTGGCACAGCCACAGTGTGGTTGTATAACATATGGGGTTTTTTTTTTCTTTAACATTAGATTTTTATCCCTCCTTTGTTTCATATAACCGAAGGTGGCAAACTGTCTCCTATTCTCCCCAGAATAACCACCCTCTGTGGTGGGCTGGGCTGAAAGAGGAACTGGCCCAAAGTCACCCAATCAGCTTTCATGCCTAAGGTGGGACTAGAACTCAGAGTCTCCTGTTGCTTGGTCCAAAGTCATCCACCGGGCTTTCATTCCTAAGGAAGGTCTAAAACTCAGAGTCTCAGTGCGTTAATTACTAGGTCAGTGCCTTAATTACTACATCAAACTGCTTCCTTTATGTAATGTGTTTTCTAGACCAGGGCTTTTCAACATTTTCACCCATTGTACCACTTTTAGGATATGGCAACATCCGAGTACCACCAGTCGCCTAGCAAGGTGTCAAAAACTTGATGACCAAAAAAAAAAAAAAAGTGATAAAGTACAGGTAGTCCTCGACTTCTAACAGTTTGCTTAGTGACTGTTCGAAGTTACAACAGCACTGAAAAAAGTGCCCCCCAAGCCACAGCCGAGCAAGACACCTGCCTGCCCACCCGGCGGTGCTCTTCCTCCTGTCCGAGGGGGGTGTTTGGTTTTTATTCCCATCTGCTGGGTGGTTGTAGCAGGTTTTGGTCACTTCACATGACCCTGGGACACTATGACTGTCATAAATATGAATCAGTTGCCAAGCATCTGAATGTTAATCACAAGACCCTGGAGAGGCTACAACATTCCAGCTGACTGGCACTTCTTCAGGGCTCAGCAGAAGCACCAGGAGCAGCGCTGAGCTCCAGCTGGAGCCTGGCGCTGATCCTGGCGCTTCCACTGAGCCCTGACAGCCCTGAAGAAGCGCCGATCAGCTGGAAAGCGGCACTGATCCTGGCGCTTCTGCTGAGTCCTGACAGCCCTGCAGCTCCAGCCATCTCTCGCTCAGGCTTGTGCGGTGCTGCCACCGGTTCAGCTCATTCCCCTCCCCCGCTACCACTTTTCTAGGATGGTCGCGTACCACTTACCAGGTGCCAATGTACCACAGGTGGTACCCGTACCACTGGTTGAAAAGCCCTGTTCTAGATCAAACAGCTATAGTCCAGGCAGATGGACCATAGATCACTTTCTTCTCACAGATAAGTATTTCTTGCCACAAGAAATGACATGCATCAGACCACAGGATGCTCGAATCACAATACAGGTAGTCCTCTACTTACAACAGTTGATTTAGTGACCATTCAAAGTTACAACAGCACTGAAAAAAGTGACCAAAGACCATTTTTCATACTTATGACCACTGCAGCATCCCCATGGTCATGTGATTTACGTTCAGATGCTTGACAACTGGTTCATATTTATGACGGTTGCAATGTCCCAGGGTCATGTGATAGATAACCTTTTGCGACCTTTTGACAAGCAAAATCAATGGGGAAGCCAGATTCACTTAACAACCGTGTTACTAACTTAACAACTGCAGTAATTCATTTCACAACTATGACAAGAACGATTGTAAACTGGGACAAAAGTCACTTAACAAATTTCTCACTTAGCAACATTAATTTTGGGCTCAATTGCGGTCGTAAGTCGAGGACCATCTGTAATGGCAACTGTCGTTATTTCCAAAGAGAATTCTGAGCTACGGAATCTGTGTGAGCCCCAGCGTCACTTCGGTGAAGGATCAGGCCTTCTGGTTTTGAAATGGCTTCTATTTGAGCAGGTGGAGGTGGTGGCTAGGAGATCCTTTGCCCACAGGCTCATTATCACTCACCTAGACTTCTGCAGTGTGCTCTATATGGGACTGCCTCTGAAGACCACCTGAAAACTGCAGTTATTACAGCGTGTAGCAGCCCATTTGCTGGCA